TTGCCAAACTCGGTTTTTCCTCAGCCAGTTCCTACTCATTATTCTGATAACAAGAGTACTATCCATCTCACCAGGGGCCCTATATTGCACAACCACACCAAGCAGGTTGAGGCCTGCCACTAATTTTGTCGTGAGCCTGTGCAGCAGAATGGGAAGCAGAAGGTTGGAAAAGAAGTCACTTGGACTTGGGATTCCCATGCTGTACATTGTAATGGGAATGGGAAGCACATTGTATGTAAGTCCAAGTGACTTCTTTTCTAGCCCATCAATTTCAGGTTCTTTTTCTGACAACCCACGAAAGCAGCACACCCCCATTCAAGCACCTCATCCCCCATGCAAGCACCACTCCATGCAAGCACCACTCCATGCAAGCACCACTCCCAAGCACCACTCCCAAGCACCACTCCCAAGCACCACTCCCAGCTTGAATCCACCACTCCCCCAAGGCAAATAGGGACTGACAGAGTGCGTAGATTCGTGAGGGCAGCTAGCCCTGATGGTAGACTGCCAGTGAACCTGTTCATGTCCAGCCGGCTGACACCGCGAGATGAGCAGTGAGAGGAGGGAGAGAAGAGGGGTGAGAGAGAGGATAGAGCGAGAGGAGAGAGCAGGGGGAAAGGGGAGAGGAGGGGAAAGGGGGAGAGGATGGGGAAGGGGAGAAATTGGGGGAGGAGGAAGAGGATAGGAAAGGGGGAGAAGAGGGTGAGGAGAGGAAGGAGGGGCAGGAGGCGGAGGAGGGAGAGGAGGATTAGGAGGGAAGGGAGGGAATAAATGTGAAAAGTCATGGGTGACCCTTCAGGCAGTGGGCAGTGGGCCAAAGGCACAACTGCAACGCAAGCATGGCTGATGTGTCATTTACAGCATTTGACCGGGCGTATTTCATCGATGCTCACTTCACTTTGTGAAAGAGACTAGGGCCAGTTTCAGAATCAGCATTGTAAGAAACAACCCCAGAATTTAGTACGAACGTGAGTCATGATGATGAGACGGGTAGGCTGGGCCGGTTAGGGCAGAATAGGCCAGCACGGAAGGGAGGACAAGGGTAGGGGCAGTGGTTAGTCACAGAGCAGTGAGTGCGGTCATGTAGGCGATCCATGCAGGAATGCTCCCTGAGAGAGAGTTGAGTCCCAGACTCCTGCAATGGTGCCGTGAGGCAGGGACGTGCAGGTGTGTAATTGTTTTTTTTTTTTTTTCTCGCAACTTTTTTTTTTAGGCCCTGCAATGGCGCTGTGGGGCCGAGTGTTGTAGGAGGTGCGGTCTTGGGGAGGCAGTAGGGTGTTGGAGCGTGTGTGGGAGGAGAAAGGCAGACGGATGGCAAGTGAGGGCTATGGGAAAGAGTAGCTGATTTTGATGCGAGAGGTGAACGAGCAGGCGAGTGGAGCAGCAAAGGAAACAGCGGAAGCATTCTGATATAAGAATAAATGTTAAGAAGAAGCCAGATTTTTTTTTTTTTTTTTTTTTTTTTTTTTTTTTTTTTTTGGTGGAGGATTGAGCGTTGGGGCAGCGGGCACAAGTTATTGGGGACGCAGCAGGTAGCGGCGAGGCACAGTGGGATATAACAGGGCGAGACGAAGCGCGGGGAGGCGAGGGGCAGATAGGGGGGGAAGGGAGAAGGGCCTGGGCAGGGAGGGGAGGGGAGGGGAGGGGAGGGGAGGGGGAGGGAGGGGAGGGGAGAGGAGGGAAGGCGAGGGGAGGGGAGGGGAGGCGAGGGGAGGGGAGGGGATAGGAGGGAAGAGCAGGCAAGGACAGGACATGGGAGGCGAGGGGAAGGGAGCGGAGGCGAGGCGCTGGGACTGACAGGTGTTGCAATCTGGAGAGCTTGCTCATGGTTTTGGGCAGAGAGCTGCTCAGCACTGTGTCTCCCAGGTCGCTGGGGAGGGCGAGGGAGTTGAGGTGGGGTGTGAGTGAGGGGGACGAGGGGGGGGGGGGGGGGGGGGGGTTTGAAGTTAGTGTTTGGCGGAGGGAATGGAGGAGGGGTGAGAGTGGTGGGAGAGGAGTGATGGCTGGCAAGAATGTAGAAGAAACATGCAGCATATGCGCACGCGTGCACACACATGCACACGCACAGCACACAAAAGAAGAAGACTCTCCAAAACCCTCACATTTGAGAATTCTCAAAAGACACATGCATGCACACACACGCACACAAAGGAAAAAGACTCTCCAAAACCCTCGCATTTGAGAATTCGCAAAAGACACACGCATGCACACGCACAGCACACAAAAGAAGAAGACTCTCCAAAACCCTCACATTTGAGAATTCTCAAAAGACACACGCATGCACATGCACAACACACAAAGGAAGAAGACTCTCCAAAACCCTCACATTTGATAATTCTCAAAAGACACACGCATGCACACACACGCACACAAATGAAGAAGACTTTCCAAAACCCTCGCGATGCCATTCTCCTCCTCCATCTTTCTCCCCTCACATCCCCCCTCTGCGCATCCATCCGCTCCCCCCACATTACCCCTTCAAGTTACTCCCATCGTGCTGTTGCACTCGTGCCGTGCTTGCTGTTGCACTCGTGCCATGCTTGCTGTTGCACTCGTGCCGTGCTTGCTGCTGCACTCACAGCAGAGTGAGGCGTGAGAGGGCGCTGATGCTCTCTGGAATGGACGTGCTCAGATAAAACCCCTGCCAATTGCTTCCGTGGTTCCACAGACCCAGGGCAGGAGGGCGTGGCGTGGGGGAAGGAGGGAGGGAAGAAGGGAAGAAGTTATGGTGGAGGAAATAAAGAAGAATTGGTGGAGGAGGAGGCGAAGGAAGCGGAGGGCTGAGCAGTGGCAGTTTGCAAGGGAAAGTGACGCATGGATGATTGGGATTTCACCCAGTCGAAGAACGAAGTGAGACGTCCAAGGGAGGGAGAGAGGGGGGAGGAAGAGGAGGAGGAATTGAGGATGGAGGGAGGAGGGAGGGAGGAGGGAGGAGGGAAGGAAGTGGGGAAGAGGGAAGGAAGGAGGGAGGAGGGAAGGAAGGAGGGAGGAGGGAAGGATGGGAGGAGGAGGGAAGGAAGAAGGGAAGGAAGGAGGGAGAAGGGAAGTTAGGAGGGAGGAGGGAAGAAGGAAGGTGGAAGGTGGAAGAGGCAAGATGGAAGAGAAAAGAGCGAATAGAAGCACGAGAATGGCAGTGGCGGCGTACAGGGCGGTAACCATGTCGTCCTGGTCCACGTCCACGGGTGGCAGCTCGTCCGTCATGTGACCCAGCTCTAAAAGAACAGTTTCTGGAAACACACAGGCGTGATGAGTGGGGGAGAAATGAGAGTGAGAGTGGGAGTGAGAGAGAGAAAGAGAGAGACAAAGAGAGAGAGAGAGAGAGAGAGAGAGAGAGAGAGAGAGAGAGAGAGAGAGAGAGAGAGAGAGAGAGAGTGCGTGTGGGAGAGAAGGGCAGGGATGGAAGAGGGAATATGTTCAGATGATAGGTAGTTCGGATGGGAGTGAAAGCGTGCAGTTTGTGCAGCAGATTGCTCTATCCCTCCCCCCCTCCCTCCCTCCCCCCCCCCCTCCCTCCCTCCCTCCCTCCCTCCCTCCCTCCCTCCCTCCCTCCCTCCCTCCCTCCCTCCCTCCCTCCCTCCCTCCCTCTCTCTTTCTCTCTGTGGAATGACGCGCATAGGAATGCAACAAGCGATGCGCTCGGAAGACCTTGGGAGAGGGGCAGTCCAGTAGTTTGCGCGCTTGCGCACATGCCGCCGGCAAGGACGGCGAGGAGAAGCGCAACTAGTCCACCCGACTGTGGCGGTTCGCGCGCTCGTCGTGCCATCGATGTATAGCAGACTGGTTTGGCAGCTGCAGAGGGTCCGTTAGATAGTATAGTAGAGGCGTATCGAATGGCGGTTGACGATAGCTTATCTTGGGAAAGGAGCCTCCTTTAGATGACTGGAACGAGTCGGATTTTGGATACAGATGCACGACGGAGGTAAGAGTGCTTTGGAAACAGATGGTAAGACTGCTTTGGTAAGAGGGTCTGTGAGAATAAAGAGGCAATGGACTGGATGCTGGAATTTAAAGCCCAGCACCCGATTTACAAACCCTTTCTAGAATCTCCACTTTCTAAACAACGCTGGGAGGTAACCCAGAAAGCAAACCCATGAGGAAGAAAACGAAGTCAATAAGAGTCTGACGATTTCCACATGGCTCAGGTGCGACCCTCTTTGTTTGACCCACCCACGCATGTGCGATGGAAGTTCTATTCACGAAACGTAACCAGGCAATTCCGAGATCAGGATTCACGATCAGCGAGCCCACTATTGAGTTCGCTAATGTGCGAAATGCCTTGTGAGTGGACACCGCTCCTCAATTCCTCGGCCTGGCTGGCAGTGGTAACACCAGCAGTCAGCGCCAGCAGCCATAGAGACTGGTTGACCCTGTTGACGGGGTGAGACCAGATTTTGCTATATCGAGAGGATATAATATGTGAATAACATAGTGTTGTTTGAAGACTCAACCATTCGGGAAAAAACAAAACAAAAAACACAAACAAACAAACAAACACAAACAAACAAACAAATACCAATATATAGAGCACAAGTAGGAATATTAATTCAATTTAAATATTCTTAGTACATGTAAAAAAAATTGGGGGTGATAAAACATTTTGGCAATCTATAAATCAGAGTTTTCCATCGGTGGAATATAAGCATTTGTCACTTCTGAGAATAGAATGTTTGAGGCAAGCTTTCTCATTTTACGACGTCCCTTCTTATCGAACATGGTGAGCTCCGCAAATTCGAATATTCCCTCCCCCACTCGCCTCGTCATGTTCACATGGCATTGGTGTGGCATGATCGCATCTATTCATTCCTCCTCGTATGCGACACACCTTGCCCTTCCCTCTCGTTTCCTTCCAACACGCTTGCTTTGTGTGGTTTCGCTCCTCATATCTGTCGCACGCGTCGCCCTCCGCACGTTCGTCGTGCACTCCTTGTCGCAAACCATCGCACCGGAAATAGTGCCCAGTCGTCTCCGTCGCCGCCGCTCCCCCCGAGCTCGTATCCATCATGACTGGCGACGACAATAACAGTAGCGCCAACGGCGGCGGCGGCGGCGCCAATGGCGGTTTGTTACAGCTGGTCGAGTCGCCTATTCCGGAACAGAAGATCTTTAATAGCCTGCCCTTCCCGCTCGTCCTAACGCCGCGCGTCCTTCCGAATCCCGCGAGCACGTCCGCTCCCTCCGCACCTCCCGCATCCCTTTCCGCCAATGCCTCCGATGCAAGCGCTCCCGCTTCCTCCTCATCTTCTCCCCAGGCTGTTTCCCTCGCCACGTCAGCATCCTCCCCGTCCGACGCGGCAGCTCCTCACGTCAGCGACGCGGTCGCGTGGATCCGTGCGAACCGCGAATGGCTGCTGGACACGTGGCAGCTGCACGGCGCGGTGCTGCTGCGCGGCTTGCCTCTCGAGTCGCCGTGTGACTTTAACGAGGTCGTGGAGGCCTTCGGATTGGACGAGCTGCCTTACGTGGGCGGCGCGGCTCCAAGAACGAAGGTGATTGGTCCACGCTTTCGTACCCTTTCTCCCCTTCCCGACCCCTTCTTATCTCTCCTCTTCCCTCCCTCCACCCCCTTCCCGCCCTCCCCTCCCCCCTCTCCCTATCTCCTCCCCTCCCATCCCATCCCATCCCCTTCCGCCCGTTTTCCCCCCCGCACCCCTCTTCCGCCCCTTCCCTCCCCCGGCTTTCCCCCCGCGCCTAGGCACAAGCTCTTCCGTCTGCACTCCGCCTCGCCGCACCTCACTTCACGCCTTCTCACCGCACTCAACCTTCCATACTTGCCCCTCGCTTTGCTTTCATCATCAAGGATCCCCTCTCCTCCGCTGCCTTCCACAGCTCTCCTCCTCCATCCCATTTCACCTCATCCCTACTCACTACCCTCCACCGCTCCCGACCCCTCTCCACCCCTCTCCACTCTTTTCCATCCCTCTCTATCCCCAGGTGGCTCCACGTGTGTTCACAGCAAACGAGTCGCCTCCGGATCAGAAGATTCCGTTCCACCACGAGATGGCGCAGGTGAGAAGGGGGAGAGGGAGGGGGATGGAGGGCGTGGGGGAAGAGAAATAAGTTGGGGAGAGGAGATGGTGCGGCAATCGCCTCCACCACTCTCGGCAAACGAGAAGAGGCGCCTCAAAAGGAAAACGAGAAGATTCCCTTCCACCACGAGATGGCGCAGGTGAGAAGGGCGTGAGGGGGGAGAGGGTGTGTGTGTGGGGGGGAGGAAAGGGTTTCATGGCCTGGGTTGGGAGGGAAGGGCGGGGAAGAGGGGGAGGTAGGAACGGTGACAGCAGTCCCCTTTAAAGCACAAGATGAATCTTCACCACAATCCGTGTGTGATGAGGCGATTTTTGAGTCGACTCAAAAATCGCCTTGGCACAGGTGAGATGAAGAGGAGCACGGGAGGAGCACCCAAAACCCCCATTCTCCCATGTCTTGCCACAAACATTTGCTCACCAGGCGCCTGGGCTGTGCTACACACAGCCTCAGGGGGCGAAACCCTTCGTTTGTTTAATTCCTTCCGCCCCTCTCCTCCCCTCGTTCGTGCTACCCCGTCCTGTTCCAGCCCTGCACTGCAGGTACCAGAGTACCCATCCCGTCTCTTCTTCTTCTGCCAGACCCTGCCAGCAACAGGGGGCGAAACTCCCATCCTGCCCTCCTGCGAGCTCACCAGCCGCCTGGCTCTGAAGCACCCCTCATTCGTGCACCCTCTTCCCCGGCCCTCCTCCTTCTCTTCCGACTCTTCCCTCTCCTCCTCTCCTCCCCTTCCCCCCAACCAGGTACCCGAGTACCCATCGGGCCATCCCGCCTCTTCCTCTTCTGCTAGGCCCCACACCAACCTCAGGGGGCGAAACCCCCATCCTGCCCTCCTGCGAGCTCACCAGGCGCCTGGCCGACACACATTCCCCGTTCATGCACCCTCCCTTTTCTCCCTCTCCTCCTCTTGCCCCCTACCAGGTACCCGAATACCCAACCCGCCTCTTCTTCTTCTGCCAAGTGCCGCCGGCAATCGGAGGCGAGACTCCCATCCTGCCCTCCTGCGAGCTCACCCACCGCCTGGCTCTGAAGCACATCTCGTTCAGGCTAACCTTTCTCCCCTTCCCCCGCTCTTTCCCTTAATAGGTACCAGAGTACCCATCGCGTCACTTCTTCTTCTTCTGCCAGGTGCCTCCAGCCACAGGGGGCGAGACCCCCATCCTGCCGTTTTGCGAGCTGACTTGCTGCCTGGCGTTGAAGCACCCCTCGTTCAGGCTAACCTTTCTCCGCTCCACCCGCTCTCTCTCCTGCACTGCAGGTACCCGAATGCCCAACGCGCCTCTTCTTCTTCTTCTTCTGCCAGGTGCCTCCAGCCACAGGAGGTGAAACCCATCCATCCATCCCCCACCCCCTCTCGCCCCCACTTCCCATTCCCTCTCGCCCCCCCTACCAGGTACCAGAGTACCCAACCCGCGTCTTCTTCTTCTGCCAAGTACCTCCAGCAATTGGAGGCGAAACCCCCATCCTGCCCTCCTGCGAGCTCACCAGGCGCCTGGCCTTGAAGCACGCCTCGTTCGTGGCTCAGCTGAGGGGCAAGGGGCTTTTGTATGTGTGCTGCTCACTTGAAAACACCTACAACTTTCCCCCACTCTCTCCCCGCCTCTTGTCTTCTTCCTCCCTACCAGGTACCGGAATACCCAACCCGTCTCTTCTTCTTCTGCCAAACTCCGCCAGCCTGGGGGGTCGAGACCCCCATCCTGCCCTCCTGCGAGCTCACCAGGCGCCTGGCCCACACGCACCCCTCGTTTGTGGCACAGCTGAGAGCCAAGGGGCTGCTGTATGTGCCACGCTCTTCTTCTGCTGCCGCCGAGTAGTTTTCTTACCTCAGCAGAAGTCACTTTCACACTCCCCACTCCCGTCTCATGTTGTCGTCTTTTCTCCCTACCAGGTACCCGAATACCCCTCGCGCCTCTTCATCTTCTGCCAGACCCCGCCAGCCACAGGGGGGCAAACCCCCATCCTGCCTTCCTGCGAGCTCACCAGGCGCCTGGCTCTGACGCACCCCTCGTTTGTGGCTTGGCTGAGGGCCAAGGGGCTGCTTTATGTGACGCACACTTCCTCTGCCAAGTACCCTCTCCCTGCCTCACCTGAAGACACCTACACCCACCCCCACTCCCTCCTGCCTTCTTGCTTGCTCCCTACCAGGTACCAGAGTACCCAACCCATCTCTTCTTCTTCTGCCAAACTCCGCCAGCCTCAGGCGGTGAAACCCCCATCCTGCCTTCTCACACTACTCCTCCACTCCTCTCCTCACCTCACTCCTCCCGTTGCTCCCTACCAGGTACCCGAGTACCCGACCCGTCTCTTCTTCTTCTGCCAGACCCCTCCAGCCTCCGGTGGCGAGACCCCCATCCTGCCCTCCTGCGAGCTCACCAGGCGCCTGGCTCTGACGCACCCCTCGTTCGTGGCTCAGCTGAGGGCCAAGGGGCTTCTTTACGTGCGCGTGCTGCCAGAGGAGGATGACCCGAGCAGTGCCATTGGGAGGGGGTGGAAGTCGACTTTCCTCACTCAAGACAAGGAAGAGGCTCAAGAGAAGTGAGTTGCATTGCAACGGGGTTCTAGGGGTATGAGCAAGCACAGGTAGCACGAGTGAGAGCCAAGGGGCTGCTGTATGTGCGCGTGCTGCCAGAGAAGGACGATCCAAGCAGTGCCATTGGGCGCGGATGGAAGTCCACGTTCCTAACTGACAGCAGGGCAGAAGCGGAGGAGAGGTGAGTTGTGAGCTTGTACAGGGGAATGTAGCAGCACAGGTGGGAACCAAGGGGATGCCAGAGACACCCCTCGTTCGTGGCTCAGCTAAGAGCCAAGGGGCTGCCACTGGTATGTGCGCGTGCTGCCAGAGGAGGATGACCCGAGCAGTGCCATTGGGAGGGGATGGAAGTCCACGTTCCTGACTGACAGCAAGGCGGAAGCGGAGGAGAGGTGAGTTGTGAGAGGTGTGGGGAAGGGGAATGAGCGCCACGGGGCTGCTGTGTGTGTGCGTGCCGGCAGAGGAGGATGACCCGAGCAGTGCCATTGGGCGCGGGTGAGGGGCCCCAGGGGATATCAGAAGCACCCACACCCCTCGTTGGTGGCTCAACTGAGCGCCACGGGGCTGCTGTGTGTGCGCGCTTGCTGGCAGAGGGAGTGACTTTTGAGTCGACTCAAAAGTCACCTCTGTGTGTGCGCGTGCCGGCAGAGGAGGATGACCCGAGCAGACCCGATGGAATTGGGTGGAAGTCAGAAACTCTATTCTCTGGCTGGCAAAGAGAGTGAAGCTGGAGTGGCAGGCGGGCGTGTTTTGAGACGTCTCAAAACATGACCGAGCAGACCCAATGGAATGGGGTGGAAATCAGAAACTCAATCCTCTGGCTGGCAAAAAGAGTGAATCTGGAGTGGCAGGTGGGCGGCAGCGTTCGGACCGCTTGCAGCTGCCGCCCACCTCCAAACCCCCTCCCACCCTCTCTCTCACCTGGCTTCACTCCCCCCCTCCCCTCTCCCCCTTCTCCCCTACCCCCTCCCCTCCCCTCCTCTACCCCCTGCCCTCTCCCCCTCTTCCCCCTCCCCTCTCCTCTCCCCCCTCACTGCAGTACCCTGCCGGATTGCATGTAGTGTGTCGAGATGGCCGAGTTGGTCTAAGGCGCTGGATTAAGGTTCCAGTCCGAAAGGGCGTGGGTTCAAATCCCACTCTCGACAGTTTTTGCGTGTTTGTTTAATATGTGTGTGCTATGGTTACATCCCTCTTGTTTAGAAGGTTGTTTGAGCCTTTTATTTTCCTTTTTTTGAAGTCATGTCCCTCGCTTGACGGTCCTATTCTTGTGCCCATGTCCTCCACTCCTCTTCCATGTCCTCCGCTCCTCTTCCATGTCCTCCGCTCCTCTTCCATGTCCTCCGCTCCTCTTCCATGTCCTCCGCTCCTCTTCCATGTCCTCCGCTCCTCTTCCATGTCCTCCGCTCCTCTTCCATGTCCTCCGCTCCTCTTCCATGTCCTCCGCTCCTCTTCCATGTCCTCTGCTCCTCTTCAGCACTTCACCGCATTTGTCATGGAAGTCATGGCACCGGCACACGACAGCGCACTCGCACCAAACACTCCCCTCGCCCCCTAACCTAGCCCTGTTGCCCCTCCCGTGCAAAGCTAGGGGTGAAGCTGGAGTGGCAGGCAGACGACAGCGATCGCCCGCCAATGCTCCTATCTGTTGCTACTTCCGGCCCTTCAACTCAACCCTCCCATTCGCACTCTCCCTCCGCCCTCTCCCATTCGCACTCTCCCGAGTCGACTCAAAGGTCGACAACAGCGATCGCCCACCAATGCTCCTATCTGCTGCTAATTCCGGCTCTTCAACTCAACTCTCCCATTCGACCTCTCCCATTCGCACTCTCCCATTCGCACTCTCCCATTCGCACTCTCCCATTCGCACTCTCACTCCACCCTCCTCCACTTCCCCACTCCCCACCACCCTTCCCGCTGCCTTGCAGGGCGGCAAAGCTCGGGGTGAAGCTGGAGTGGCAGGCGGACGGCAGCGTTCGAACTGTTTCCGGGCCTATCCCAGCGCTTAGGGTTGACACCAGGCCTCTACCCAGCGTCTCCACCAAACCTCATGCTGCTCAAAATAAAGATCAGCCTCGGGATGAGGTCCGGGATGAACAGGCTCGGACAGGAGAGGTTGGGGAGGAAGAGGTTCGGGAGGCATGGTTCAACAGCATGGTAGCGGCCTATACAGGATGGAAGGACGTACGTAATGACCCAACCAAAGCAGTTACGTTCGGCGACGGGGAGGCGTTACCAGGGGAGGTGGTATTGGCGGTGGAGGAGGAGATGGAGCAGCTGGCAGTGGCTGTGCCATGGCGACGTGGCGACGTGCTATTGGTCGATAATCTCACTGTGCAGCATTCTAGGCGGTCGTTTGAGCCCCCAAGGCGGATCCTGGCATCCCTTGCCAAGTGAATTTCCTCTCAGTTTTGCATGTACATTTGTAGATGGGGAGGGGAGGTGTTACCGGGAGAGGCTGTACTGGTGGTGGAGGAGATGGACCGGCTGGCAGTGGCTGTGCCGTGGCGACGTGGCGACGTGCGATTGGTGGATAACCTTTCTGTGCAGCATTCCCAGCGGACGTTTGGGCCTCCCAGACGGATCTTGGCATGATGGCATCGCTTGCCAAGTGACATCTCTCCAGTTTTGCATGTAGGATTTGGCAACAGGGAGGTGCTACTGGGGGAGGAGGCGCTATTGCCATGCAGCACTCCTGACGGTTGTTCGAGCCCCCTAGGCGGATCCTGGCATCTCAGTTTTGCATGTACATTTGTAGATGGGGGGGGGGGGAGGCGTTACCGGGGGAGGTTGTACTTGCGGGGAGGAGGAGATGGAGCGGTTGGCAGTGGGTGCGCCGTGGCGACGTGGCGACGTGCTATTGGTGGATAATTCTGTGCATCATCGTTTGAGCCTCCTAGGCGGATTTTGGCATCGCTTGCCAAGTGACCTCCATCTAGTTTTGCTTGAAGATATTTTTCTTTGCTTTTTAATCCTTGTGTAGGAGCATGATGACAAAAAACAAGATGTTATTTTGTTTGGTTTTAGCACGTATTTCTCTGTTAGCATGTCTGTACGGATATGATCGAATTGAGCCTGATCGAATTGAGTCTGATCGTATTGAGTCTGATCGTATTGAGTCTGATCGTATTGAGTCTGATCGTATTGAGTCTGATCGTATTGAGTCTGATCGTATTGAGTCTGATCGTATTGAGTCTGATCGTATTGAGTCTGATCGTATTGAGTCTGATCGTATTGAGTCTGATCGTATTGAGTCTGATCGTATTGAGTCTGATCGTATTGAGTCTGATCGTATTGAGTCTGATCGTATTGAGTCTGATCGTATTGAGTCTGATCGTATTGAGTCTGATCGTATTGAGTCTGATCGTATTGAGTCTGATCGTATTGAGTCTGATCGTATTGAGTCTGATCGTATTGAGTCTGATCGTATCGAGTCTGATCGTAAACATGCTGTCTGCAGCGCGAATAAGTGTGATCATCAGACCCACAGCTCCTTGTGCTCCCATCTCATCCCCCCATTTCAGAATTTCCCTTGTTATCCATTCCGAGCAAGCACTGAGCGAAAGCCTATCTGCGACGTACCAAGCCTGCTACTTACAACGGGGTTTATGTGTTTTTAGTGTGGAAACGCGATTCTGAAAGGCACGCACACAGGAGGCGGGTGGTGAGCAAGAGACGGTGCTGATGACTGCCGATATTCCTGACGGCGACCGTCCTCCTCGTGACGACGACGGTCATGTTAGTGACGGCGAGGGTCATGTTCGTGACGGCGACCGCCTTGCGCGTGACGGCGACAGTCAATTTTGTGACGGCGACAGTCAATTTCGTGACGGCGACAGTCAATTTCGTGACGGCGACAGTCAATTTCGTGAAGGCGACAGTCAATTTCGTGACGGCGACAGTGACGTTCGTGACGGCAACAGTCATGTTCGCAGTACAGGAGGAGAAGGGGAGGAAATGCGGGAAGAGGGAGATGCGTGGGGATTGACGGATGATGGTGGAGGAGAGAGAGGGGAAAGAGAAGGGTGTCGACGAGGAAAGGATGAAAGCGAAGCGGGAGAAAGGGACGAGGGAGGAGGTAGAAGCGAAGAAAGGGAAGAGGAAGGAGATGAAAGCGAAGGAAAATTGTGTAGAGGAGGACGAGAAGAAGCAAGGGAAGGGGGAGGAGGCAAAGCAGAGAGTTCGAGGAGGCTAGAAGTGCGTCCGGAGGGGGGGCAACGGAAGGACTGGGGAGCGGTGGACGAGGGGGGGCTGAGGGAAGGTGAGAAAGAGAGAGAGGAAGAAAGGGAAGGAGGGGGAAAAGACGCAAAGGGATTTCACGGGGGAGAGATACGTCCGGAGGGGGAGCAATGGAAGGAGGAGGCGGGAGTGGCGGGTGAAGGGGAGGTGAGGAAGGAAGCAGGGGATGCAGGAGAAGACGAAGCGGAGGTTGAGAAGGAGAAAGAGGAAGAGGAAGAGGAGGAAGATGAGAAAGGGAAAGAAAAGGATGAGGACAAGGAAAAAGAGGAAGAAAAGGCAGAGGAGGAAGACAAGGAGGAAGAGGAGGAGGAGGAGGAGGAGTATGTGTATTTGGATTTGAGCCAAGCGGTTAGGAGGCTGCCTCGAAATTGCCGACTCATTATCGAGGTAAGCATGGGGGAGCCATGCACTTCAAACCACGGTGCACATTCACCTGGGTGGGCATCAAGGGGTAACCTTTGATGCCCCGTTACGGGGTGTGCTTTCAACCTGGGGAGCCAGATTTCGCCCCTCCCCCCAAAATGTATGTTCCCCAATCCCCCCCAATTTTTGAATGTGTACTCCGGTTTTAAGCGAGTTTAAAGCGGCTAGGAGCGGGGTGCGTTTTTTTCCGTTTTTTTCTTCCTTTCTTTTCATTCTCCTAAGCGCAACTGATTTCTAAAATTACTGTAATGCGAGCTGAATAGTGAGGGGTTCTGTATGTGCTTGAAAGCGGGGGGGTGGAGTCGGGCAGAACATAGAGAGGGCTGATTATAGAGCGAGGGGAATAGTTCTGTAGGGAATATTTGTGAAGGAAACTAGTCATGAGGGAAATATTTGCAATGGTTGTCGCATGTGATGGGGAATTTTTTTTTTTTTTTTTTTTTTTTTTTTTTTTGGCTTTGTCAGTTCAGATGGTCACCATGTCCATGTATGCACGTGTGCGTGTGGTGCGCGCACTCTTGCACATTCATGAAGCTCTATTTCTGAGGCGCCTCAAAAGTCGCTTCAGTTCACATGGTCACCATGGCATGTCCATGTATGCATGTGTGCGTGCACCCTTGCACATTCATGAAGCTGTATTCTGGTTGGATGAGCTTTTTGAGACGTCTCAAAGATTTTGTTTGTGTGAATTGACGTGGGTTGAAAAACCCTGCGTTTTGTGGCATGTGTCCTATCCAGAATCTGGAGTCAGAGTCACCGACACTGCACCTGCCAGATGGCAACACGCTGGTAAGCCACGTTAGCATAAGCCACGTCATCATAAGTGACGTTTCTGGTAAGCCACGTTAGCATAAGCCGCGTCATCATAAGTGACGTCACTGGTAAGCCACGTCATCATTAACCACATCATCTTAAACCAGTATATGTAAGGCACAGTACTACCATGGCTGGATATATCTCTTGTGTTTTTTGCTCCTCTTTCTCATGTGATGCACGGTAGGGCCCCACATGACCCTGGTCATTATACTGCCCTGTCTCTAGTGTACTGCCCTGTCTCTAGTGTACTGCCCTGTCTCTAGTGTACTGCCCTGTCTCTAGTGTCCTGCCCTGTCTCTAGTGTACTGCCCTGTCTCTAGTGTCCTGCCCTGTCTCTAGTGTACTGCCCTGTCTCTAGTGTCCTGCCCTGTCTCTAGTGTCCTGCCCTGTCTCTAGTGTCCTGCCCTGTCTCTAGTGTCCTGCCCTGTCTCTAGTGTCCTGCCCTGTCTCTAGTGTCCTGCCCTGTCTCTAGTGTCCTGCCCTGTCTCTAGTGTCCTGCCCTCACACATTACCATTCCCCCCCCACCACATTACCCCTCTTCCTCCTTCATCACATTAACGTTCTGTCGATGGGAGGTATGTTTGTGAATTTCAAAATATTCAGCCAGTCTAGCTAAAGCAAAAAGAATCTAAGTGTAAGAAACTATTCAGCCTGTGCGTCCATCCTTCTATCTTATTTGAATTGACCACCTGAATGCCCTCGTCCATCCAGGTGACCTTTGAGTCGGCTCAAATGTCATCCTTCCTTCCCTCACATTCGAATCGGCCAATTCGAATCGACCACTCCAATGCCCTCGTCCCTCCAGGTTGGAGACTATGAGGAGACTCTCGGTTCCTGCCTCTTCTTTCAAGAGAGTAAGCTGATGGGAAATATATTTCTTTTATTTCCGTCTTACCCGTTTGTGCCCATGAGAGACTGAGGGGTAAGGGGTAAGGGGCGTGAGGGGGAGGGGAGGAGGGAAGCACTTTTTCGGAGCACAAGAAGCTGTGGCTCCCTGTGATACCAGCCTGGTTGTTTTGTGCTCCAACCAACTCTCCTTAGAGAAACATCGAGAAATCTATTCGTGCGGTCTCTTCCTTTTCTAACCATCCGCTTTGTTCTCCGTTGCAGCCCTTGTGCCTGCTGCCACCGTTGCAAACAATCGCTTGTTTTGCTCTCCACCTCTCACAGATTCAACTTTTCTTCGTGCATCTCCTCCTTTTCTAACCATCCGCTTTGTTGTCTGTTGCAGCTCTTGTGCCTACTGCCAGCGTCCCTCCCAGCAACGGATCAGGCCCATCCACGGTCCCTGCTGCTGCTGCAGCAGCTGGTGGTGATGTTCCACCAGCATTAGGGGAACAAGCAATGGCAGGGAAACAAGGTCCTTCAGTGGGAGGGGAGCAAAAACGAAAACGATGCGTCAAATACATTGGGAAAACAGAACTCAGATTAACGTTCAGGAAACTCTCTTAATGCTGTCTTGGTTCGATTTGTAGCAGATAGGTAATGGTCACTAAGTTCCTGAGTACACATACTAATCAAATGTTAGTGTGCTGTACATATACTCAACTGCTGACGCTGAAGTGGGGAATTCTATGAGTGGACAACACGTGTACTTCCCCACAGTCGAGGACAGCATTTGCTGGTTTCAGGATTTGGGGTGCGCGCTGATCAATCAGTGCGGTTCAGTTGGATTTTACACGGTGAGAAGCGGTATCTTCATTTCACTGCTTCGGAACGCAATGCACCAAACAGAACCGAGGTAACCGCGGGATTTCCCTACAGAGACAATTCTTCCAGGATTCGGAATTCTTTGATTTCGTCGCCCTTGGGAACCTCATCTCCGTCCGACCATTGGTCAAGCAGCCATTCGGTGCCGTCAGCTGCAAGGCTGCAGCAGAACAGAGCCAAAACGGTCTGTTCCCAGATTCTCGATTCCGTCGTTCTTGATTCCGCCCGTCCTCCTCTCGGTCAGTGAGAGCCTTACCCATTCCGTGCTGCGAACTGCACGCGTGATACGGTAGTAACATTTTTTTTTCCAACGTAGTCCTGCCACATTGCACGCGCTTCTACGACCCCCGAGAGCAATTCCTTTGCCTAAGCTAACCGATCCGAATGTCAACGCTGAAATCCCTCACAGTTTCTCAAATTCCAGCAGCCGCTCTCGCAAATCGCGGATCCTTATCAGGCGCATTTGACAACTCGCCTTCAGATTTCCATCCTCCTCGACCGTACGCGCTAAGTTCGACCTCGTCACGCGACACAACCTCACAGATAGCAACGCGATTTCTCCCGTCAGCTGTTAACTTCCGGATTCGCCCCCGATCAGCGGCGAGAGTAAATCGTCGATCGGCAGTCGTCATGGCCGCTTCGGGTGCGTCGGACGGCAGCGACATCTTCAAGCGCAGCATCAACCTGATGATCGTCTCTGATCTCGACAACACCATGGTGAGCTTGATAGGCCCGTCTAATACATACAGACAATCGGCTGCTGAGGTGCCTCAGAGTCTGATGGGAGCGAGCGACATCTCTAAGCGAAGCATCAACCTCAGGATCGTCTCCGACCTCGACAACACCATGGTGAAAGATTTGTTTAGCCTCCTTAAAAGCAGACTCAAGGACATTCTTAGACGGTAGTGACATCTTTAAGAGAACCATTAACCTCAGGATCATCTCCGACCTCGACAGCACCATGGTGAGACTTCGTAGGCGGGTCGAAAAATCAGACTGAGACGGTAGTTCTCAAGCGAAGCATCAACCTGATGATCGTCTCTGATCTCAACAACACTATGGTGAGATGAGATTGATAGGCCCTCATTATACATACAGACTGGGATGATGAAGGGCGTGAGAGTCGCAACGTAAGCGTTATCTTCAAACGAAGCATCGACCTCATGATTTTCTCTGACCTCGACAACACTATGGTCATTAAACATCTTCAGGCCTCGAATCTCCAATTCTCTTGTTTGTTCGCCTCTCCGGGCAACTCACCTCGAATTCCCTGCTCTCGAACTAATCCTCATTTGTATCTGATTTCCCAGACACGCGGCCCCAGTCCTTCACTCTGTTTTTTCTCCCACCTGATTCGCTCTGTTGTTTTCAACTGATCAGGTGGACCACAAGGATCCCAACCACGAGTCGCTGCGCGAGTTCGCGTCGCTGTGGCAGTCCACGTTCGCGCGGGATTCGCTGCTCGTCTACTCCACTGGCCGCTCGCCGACCCTGTACAACCAACTCAAGAGCCAAGTGCCGCTGCTCACTCCTGGTACGTTGCTTTAGGGAATACAAGTGAGTCGTTTGTTCGAGGGGTATACAGGGGCGTACGCGTCGCTGTGGCAGTCCATACTCGCACGGGACCACAAGGATCCCAACCATGAATCGCTTCGCTAGGGGTATAAGTGAGTGCAGGGGCGTACGCGTCTCTGTGGCAGTCCACGTTCGCGCGGGATGCGCTACTCGTCTACTCCACTGGCCGCTCGCCCACCCTGTACAACCATCTCAAGAGCCAAGTGCCGCTGCTCACGCCTGGTACGTTGCTTGCTTGAAATTTACTCCACTTTCATTCAACCCACTTCCAACCCTCGTCCAATCTTCCATCCTTCCTTCCACGATCCCCCCATCATCATCACGGTCCCCCCATCATCATCACGATCCCCCCATCATCATCATGATCCCCCCATCATCATCACGATCCCCCCATCATCATCACGGTCCCCTTATAATCATCACGATCCCCCCATCATCATCACGGTCCCCTTATAATCGTCACGATCCCCCCATCATCATCACGGTCCCCTTATAATCATCACGATCCCCCCATCATCATCACGATCCCCCCATCATCATCACAGTCCCCTTATAATCATCACGATCCCCCCATCATCATCACGGTCCCCCCATCATCATCACGATCCCCCCATCATCATCACGATCCCCCCATCATCATCACGGTCCCCTTATAATCATCACGATCCCCCCATCATCATCACGATCCCCCCATCATCATCACGATCCCCCCATCATCATCACGGTCCCCTTATAATCATCACGATCCCCCCATCATCATCACGATCCCCCCATCATCATCACGATCCCCCCATCATCATCACGATCCCCCCATCATCATCACGGTCCCCTTATAATCATCACGATCCCCCCATCATCATCACGATCCCCCCATCATCATCACGATCCCCCCATCATCATCATGGTCCCCTTATAATCATCACGGTCCACTTCCATCTTTTCCCGTCCCTCCTCGCCAGACATTGTCATCAATTCAGTGGGTACGGAGATCACCTATGGCGCGTCCACATCTCTTCATGTTTATTCCCCCAATCTCTTGATTTGTCCTCTTCTCCTCATTCCCCACATCCCGTCCCCTCGCCGCCAGACATCGTGATCATGTCAGTGGGCACGGAAATCACTTCGGGCGCGTCCATGCAGCCGGACAGGGGGTGGGAGGAGTATGACTTTTGAGTCAACTCAAAAGTCAACTCGGAAATCACTCAGGGCGCGTCCATGCAGCCGGACAGGGGGTGGGAGGAGTATGACTTTTGAGTCGACTCAAAAGTCAACTCGGAAATCACTTAGGGCGCGTCCATGCAGCCGGACAGGGGGTGGGAGGAGTATGACTTTTGAGTCGACTCAAAAGTCAACTCGGAAATCACTTAGGGCGCGATCATGCAGCCGGACAGGGGGTGGGAGGAGTATTTCGGCCCTCACTCCCCTTTCTTACCCACTCTCCCCACCATTGCTCCTCCCCTCGCCGCCAGACATCGTGATCATGTCTTTGGGCACGGAGATCACCTACGGAGCGTCCATGCAGCCAGAGAGGGGGCGGGAGGTCTGCCTCGGCCCTCCCTCCCGTTTCTTTTCAACCCACTCTTTCCACCATTCCCCTATTCCTACGCCAGACATCGTGATCATGTCAGTGGGCACGGAGATCACCTACGGAGCGTCCATGCAGCCGGACCAAGGGTGGGAGGAGTACCTGAACGATGGGTGGGACAGGGCTGCTGTGGTGGACGTCGCTAAGGGCTTTCCTCTGTTACGGTTCCAGGTGAGTCTCTTTGTTAGTCGTCTCAAGAGGCTTGATGACTGGGGAGGTTCACTGCAGCCGGACCAAGGGGTGGGAGGAGCATCTGTGCGATGGGTGGGACAGGGGCGCCGTGGTGGACGTGGCTAAGGGCTTCCCCCAGCTGCGATTCCAGGTGGGTTGTTGGGGTTTGGGGAGGATTTTAGGTAGGTTTCTTTCTGGGCGTGTCAGGACAGTTGGTGACTGGGGAGGTTCATTGCATCCGGACACGGGGTGGGAGGAGTTTCTGGATGATGGGTGGGACAGAGAGGCCGTGGTGGAGCAAGCCAATGAAACCTCACTTGGCTTTTGTCAGGTGAATTTTCAGGTGATTGTTGTTCATTCAGACTGGCTCTTTAGACCTCCTAATTTCAGTCAGCTTTGAGGTGATCTACTCACGTTTCTCAAAGCTCAAAGCTGACCGCTCTCCTGACCGCTCTCCTGACCGCTCTCCTGACCGCTCTCCTGACCACTCTCCTGACCGCTCTCCTGACCACTCTCCTGACTACTTAAAGTCGGGTTTCTGTACCTCCGTTTCTCTTCTCCCGTTTCCCCACTGCTCTCTTAACTGTCACAGGCGGACTCAGAGCAACGGCCGCACAAGGTCAGCTTTCACTTGGAGAAGGACCAGGCAGGCAACGTGGTGGAGGAGCTCAGGAGCAAGCTGCAGCAGCGAGGGGTACGTGACTGTGGACTAGTGTGACTGTACGAGTACGTTATTGTATCAAGTGTTCTGGTATGTGGTTTCAAGTGGCACAAGGTCAGCTTTCACCTGGAGAAGGATAAAGCAGGCAACGTGGTTGAGGAGCTGAGGGGGAAGCTGGCGCAGCGAGGGGTATGTAGGTGGTCGTGGCGCTAAGGATCTGTGGGTTTGTAAGTTCAGTGTGTGTTAGGGTAGGTCATAGCAAGGTCAGCTTTCCTTTCACCTGGAGAAGGACCAGGCAGGCAACGTGGTGGAGGAGCTCAGGGGCAAGCTGGCGCAGCGAGGGGTATGTGGTTTTGACTGTATATAGGTGGCAGTTTTTGCTGATATATAGGTGCACAGTGGCAGCCCTCCTTTCTTTGTAGACGCACCCTGTCACCCTGCCTTGTGCTAGTCCCTAACCCTCTTGGTATATTCTGGTTTGGGCTTACCTGTGGCTCTCTCACTCTCTCTTTCTCTCTCCACCGCCCCCCAACCCCGCTATCTCCCACCAAACCATGCAGCTGAAGGCGAAGGTGATATACAGTGGGGGATACGATCTGGACATTCTACCTGAGAGGGCGGGCAAGGGGCAAGCCATGGCATACCTGCTGCGGCAGTTCACGCAGCACAGTGGGGGGCCCCACCTCCTACTGGATGCACCCTGTCACCCGGCCTTGTGCTAGTCCCCACCTCGTTGCGGGGAGTTTTTGAGAATTTTCAAAAACTCCCTACTGGATGCAATGCACCCTGCCACCTGGCCTTGTGCTAGTCCCCACCCCCCGAAATGTGCTGACCTTTGCTGACGTGTGACACTCACTCCTCTCTCGTCCCCCCTCCCCCTCTCCCCTCCCGATCCCCTTTTTCCCCCTTACCCCAGCTGAAGGCGAAGGTGATATACAGTGGGGGGTACGATCTGGACATTCTACCTGAGAGGGCGGGCAAGGGGCAGGCCATGGCATACCTGCTGCGGCAGTTCAAGGAGCACAGTGGGGGCGCTCCCTCCCTCCCAGACCAGATGCGCCCTGTCACCCTGCCTTTGCCAGTCCCCACCCCATCCTCAGGCATACGCTAGCCTTTGCTGACGTGTGCTACTACTCTGTCCTCTCTTCTTCCCCCCCCTTCTTCCTCCCCCCACCCCCCACCTCCCCCCTCACACCAGCTGAAGGCGAAGGTGATATACAGTGGGGAGTACGATCTGGACATTCTGCCAGAGAGGGCGGGCAAGGGGCAGGCCATGGCGTCCTGCTGCGGCAGTTCAAGGAGCGCAGTGGGAGGCCCCCCTCCTACCTTTGCACCCTGTCACCCTGCCTTGCGCTAGTCCCCACCCCACTCCTCCCCCATATGCTGGCTTGTGCGGACGTGTGACACTCCCTCCTCTCTCCTTCCCCCTCCCCCTCTCCCCATTCCGCTCCCCCTTTTCCCCCTTGCGTCAGCTGAAGGCGAAGGTGATATACAGTGGGGGGTACGATTTGGACATTCTGCCTGAGAGGGCGGGCAAGGGGCAGGCCATGGCATACCTGCTGCGGCAGTTCAAGGAGCACAGTGAGGGCGCTCCTAAGCACACGCTGGCGTGTGGGGACTCGGGCAACGATGCAGAGCTGTTTGAAGTGGAGGGGGCTTATGGTGTGATTGTAAGTGGAAGGGGGGAAGGTTTGTGCTGCTGTATCGAGCTGAGTGGTGATCTTGGTGTGCTATACCTGCTGCGATGAGTCTATGTGGCTTCGGCAGCAGAGTGACAGCCAAGCTAGTCAGCACACGCTGGCATGTGGGGACTCGGGCAACGATGCAGAGTTGTTTGAAGTGGAGGGGGCTTATGGTGTGATTGTAAGTGGATGGGGGAGGGTGGTGGCTGTGTCAGAGGTCCACTGGTGATCCCCGATTGATCCTAGGGAAGGGTTATAGGCATGTTGGCCTGGGGGGTTATGGGCGCACTGACCCGCTACTTAACAAGCCCTTTTATCCCAATGGTCTAGTGGTTGGGATTCTGACATGTTATCAGAGCGAATGTCTCGGGTTCGAATCCCAGTATGTGCACTTCGGGCATCCCAGTGCGGGGGGGTGTCAGAGGTCCACTGGTGATCCCCGATTGATTCTAGGGAAGGGTTATAGGCATGTTGGCCTGGGGGGTTATGGGCGCACTGACCCGCTACTTAACAAGCCCTTTTATCCCAATGGTCTAGTGGTTGGGATTCTGACAGGCTGTACTAAGGGGTGTATTGAGGGGTGATTCTGGTGTCTGTGGTTTAGGCAACAGAGTGGCAGCACTCCCATGTTACTCGGGCAACGATGCAAAGCTGTTTGAAGTGGAGGGGGGATACAGTGTGATAGTAAGTGAAAGGAGGGAAGGATTGTGCTGCTGTATCGAGCTGAGTCTGTGTGGCTTCGGCAGCAGAGTGGCAGCCAAGCTGCTAAGCACTCGCTGGCGTGTGGGGACTCGGGCAACGATGCAGGGCTGTCGGAAGTGGAGGGGGCGTATGGCGTGATTGTAAGTGGAGGGGTTGTTCTTGTATTGGGTGGTGGCTCTAGATCCCAAACCCGTGCGTGATTGTAAGTGGATGGAGAAGGGGCGTGTGCTACTGTATTGAGGGGTGTACAGAGAGGTGTACAGAGGGGTGTACAGAGGGGTGTACAGAGGGGTGTACAGAGGGGTGTACAGAGGGGTGTACAGAGGGGTGTACAGAGGGGTGTACAGAGGGGTGTACAGAGGGGTGTACAGAGGGGTGTACAGAGGGGTGATTTTGGTGTGTGATTGTAAGTGGAAGGGGGAGGGGTTTGTGCTGCTATATTGAGGGGTGTGCAGAGGGGTGATTCTGGTGTGTGATTGTAAGTGGATGAGGAAGGGTGTGTGTTGCTGTGTTGAGGGTGTCCCGCTGGTCATAGATGGTTGAGAGGTACAGGGCGCATCACAGCACCGCACAGCACCGTATAGCACCGCGAAGTAGAGCAGGGCATCCCGCTCCTCTCCACAGCACAGCACAAGTTTTTCATCTCCTCCCCGTTCCACCCTTTTTCCCTTCAGTCCCATCCGCCTGCAAGTATCCAATGCGACGGAGGAGCTAGTGGAGTGGCACAGGGCACACCACAGCACGGTACAGCACCGCAGAGCAGCACACAGCACTGCACAGCATACCACCATGTGTCCATGTTCCCCCCTTCCCCTCACAGGTATCCAATGCGATGGAGGAGCTGGTGGAGTGGCACAGGGCGCACCACAGCACAGCAGAGCACCGTGCAGCACCATAAAGCACCACACAGCACAACCCAAGTCGGCCATCTCCTTCCCCTTTGCCCACTGCAGGTATCCAACGCAATGGAGGAGCTAGTGGAGTGGCACAGGGCGCACCACAGCACAGACCACGTGTTCCGAGCCACCAAGCGGTGTGCGGGAGGCATCATCGAAGCGATCAACCACTTCAAGTTCGGCCCGCAGTAGCGCCGGTGAGTCTCTCACCCCTGCCTGTGAGCCTGCACCACAGCGCACCACCACAGCCCAGCACACCACAGCACAGCCCACGTGTTCCGAGCCACCAAGCGGTGTGCGGGAGGCATCGTAGAGGCCATCAACCACTTCAAGTTTGGCCCGCAGTAGCACCGGTGAGTCCCCTCCACCTCTCCCATTCATCCCTCCTCCTGTTGCTTGCAAAACAAAAAGGTAAGTGGCACAGGGCGCACCACAGCACAGACCATGTGTTCCGAGCCACCAAGCAGTGTGCGGGGGGGATCATCGAGGCAATCAATCATTTCAAGTTCGGCCTGCAGTGATGGTGAGTCCTGTTCAGACAGTAGCATGCCACACCACAGCACGGACCATGTGTTCCGAGCCACCAAGCGGTGCGCGGGAGGGATCATAGAGGCTATCAAACACAAGTTCGGCCTGCAGTAACACCAGTGAGTCTTTTATTCCTGTTAAGTGAGCCCGCACCACAGCACCACATCACAGCGCACCACAGCACGGACCATGTGTTCCGAGCGACCAAGCGGTGTGGTGGAGGGATTATCGAGGCCATTAACCACTTCAAGTTTGGCCTGCAGTAGAGTTGAAATAGCCTTTTGAGGCGCCTCAAAAGGCCTGCAGTAGAGTTGAAATAGCCTGAACCAGTGAGTCTTCCTCGCACCCCTGCCCACTCTCTCGCCCACGAGTTTGGCTTGCGGGTTGCCGAGGCAAAAGAGCACAAACAGCTAACAGGCATCGTTTGGGTTTCGGGTTTAGGGTTACAGAGTGGTGCTGTGAGGGACAGTGCGATGCGTGTGTGCTTTCCTGCATCTCTATATTTGTCTGCCCTCTCCTGTTGTCAACAACCTGCATTGCTGCCCACCCGACTCTCCTTCTCACACTTCCTTTTCTTGCAGTTCCGGTTTGTGCAATGTAGGGTATTAATTTCACAGTTGTCGTGCCTGTATTCCCACGCCGCCTTGTACCCCCCGTGTTGTGAATGTTGTGTTGTGTGTACATACACACAGGCTGTTGGCAGCAAGGAGAGCATGGATGGATGTCAGTGGTTATAACGCATTCCACTGTACAATGTCACATAATAGCTGTGCCTTACGATTTTACAATTGGAAGGCTTAGACGCTAAGGAACTTGAATCATTCAACCTGTTATGAATAACTTCCAGCAGTTGCAATTTATGCGCCCTTATAGATGTGTACAGAACGCAATGCATTCTAAGCATGCGAAGAAAACTCTGAACCAGCTTTACTGTTGAGCCTGCAAGGAGGAGCGACAGTCGACAAGGATGAGAGGGAGTGGCTGGATGAATAGTGAAGGCAGCAGCATGATAGACCTGTAGTAGCAGCAAGTGTGGCTAAGGTAGTAGTGTGGCCAAGTCACTGTCTGTTTCACATACTCACCCGTGCGATGCCGTGATCACATGCACTTGACATGTAACATATTTCAACCCCTTAAGAAAGCGGAAATAAAACGCACATGCTCGCATGAGTTGAATGGACCCCCCCACCCCCTGAATAGACATGTCTATGGTTACCGTAAGCTCAGGCATGCATTAGAGCAAGTGAATAGAGAGGGAACAGATGAAGATGTGAGCGCATATGGTCAATCGAGATAGGCACTCAGCATGTGCAATAACATCAACCTATACAGTCACACCCATCCATACAGTCACTCACATCAAGAGCCACACCCATCTACACGCACATCCACTTACGGTCGCACTCATCTATACAGTCACACTCGCCCACAGTACCTCGGCAGCAGTCTGATGGCTGTGTGACTGTGCATCCGCCAGGGAAGCTGTCAGGTTTTCCAGTCGGGCCAGACGAGCCTCCACTGCCGCGTTGTATCCTTCCGCCTGGGATGTGTGAATCACGAATGGGCACGTCACACGTGAGGGGGATGGAGGGGGAGGGGAGAGCGGCAAACGACAATGACAAGCTGTGGATCGCCAACCGGGCCAAACGAGCCTCCACTGCAGCGTTGCACCCCTCCGCCTGCCGTTGTGTGTGTCATCAGTCGGCATGTCACACGTGAGGGGGGTGGAGGGGGAGGAGACACAAACGAAAAGGTTTTTGAGAATTCTCAAAAACAAGGAGCTGGATTCTCTGGTGAAGCCAGAAGAGCCTCCAATGCACCGTTGTACCCCTCCGCCTGCCATCATGTGCCATCAGTGACGTGAGGGGGAGGGGAGAGAGACAAACGACAATGACAAGCCGTTGGATTTTTTTTGGTGGAGCCAGACGAGCCTCCACTGCAGCGTTGTACCCCTCCGCCTGTCATTGTGTGGCTTTAGGGGACACGTGACGTGAGGGGAGGGGAGAGAGACAGGTGACAATGGCAAGCCGTTGGATTCTGCGGTCAGGCTAGTTTTGAGGCGCCTCAAAAGTCGTCTGCGGTCAGGCTAGACGATTTTTGAATGCAGCAGCTTGCATCGTTGTTTCGAGCTCTCACAAGGGACACATGCAGTGGTAGGGAATCCTGTTGGTGCGCAGCGATTGTGCAGACAGGACATCGTTCGTTCTGCGCCGTGACGTCACTGGAGGTACAGTGACGGCAGCGAAGGAACAACGACGTCAGCAAATGAGGAGTGACGTCACTGAAGCAACAGTGACGTCCGCGATGGACAGTGACTTCGCGGCGTAGCATGCACCAACGTGCGATGTTCCATGTTCACTTGGCGCATCAATATTTTCGTCAATGTTCCGATATAAGCTGAACCGGTACAAGCCTCACCTGTTCCGTGAGCACTTTATGACTAGCTAAGAGATCTCGTTGTAGAAGGTACATCGCTCCTGCCGACGCCACCGCGAATCCCGCTAAGAACCCGCCGAGCCGCGCGCGGAACAGAGCCATTAGTACCTCGAATCAACAACTACACTGCAAGAGCGACTAGAAATCGTATCTTCAGACTTTCTAAGTCTTTGTAGTATATAGGAAGAAGCGGCGAAATGGTAGATCAGTCAGCGATGCGGCTGGTCAACAGAGTTGGATCAAGAGTGGACCTCTTTATCCAAAACGGCTGAGCGAAAAACAGTAGCAGAGGTAGCTATCGCGACAAGACTCAATAACGCCCTTCGGTTGTTCCGCTCTGCGGGTCTCCTGCCTCCCAGCACGCTATGGCGCCGAGCTGAGCCTGGGGGGAGGCGATACTAAAAAGAGGCTAGAGGGAAGTACCGTAAATGGGAGTAGCGCAAGACGTGTGGAGCTATAGAATCAGTCGGTGGTATCTGTGGCTCTAGATCGGGATGCAGTTACCATTCAATTCGCGCAGGCGAGAGTCCTTTTGCGAATCGATGGAAGACTTCGGGTTTCGCCAAGCCCGTGATGGATGGATGACCGAAGTGTGAGATGTTACCATCACCTGATTTCGCAAGGTCGAAGATTTTGAAGTTTGGCTGAAAGTGGGTGTGGTTTTTCTTGAGACCATATCTTTCTTGTGGCAGTACACTTTTGTGGTGTTATCTAGCAAATTCTGAGTCAGATCAAAGCGAATACCGAAGCTTCTTTTGGTTCCTCCTGCTACTCACTGGCTGCTTCAGCTGCTGCTGCTGCTGCTGCTGCTTTGGCTGCTCGTGCTGCTGAGTCAGCCTTATCCGTTTCGCAGCTGATGCGATACTGCGACTGCCTTTCAGGATCCAGCCTCGTCTTTTAACGATCCATTCAAAAGTGACAGCGCTTCGTACTGAAGAATACGCTATTTTTGAATCGTCATTAGAATCCACAGGCGTCTGAATCCCTCGGCGTCACTATGGCAGTCTGCACGTCGCAGCTGGGTCTGACCAGCCAGCATTCGATCTTGACGGCTGCCGGCAGTTTAGACGGTCATCAAAACAAGCTTCAAGCATTTTCATCCCCCCACAGCCCGTCATTACTCGTCAGAAAGCCACGTGTCGTTTGCTCGTTGGGTCCTGAGATCGAGAAGTCCGGGTTTGGGTTTAACGCAGTGACACGCGGCAGGAGGACGAGCACGGCTTGCAGAGCGGATAAAAAGGTAAGGTACTTGCGGTTTTCGGGGTAATGTTGGAGTTCATTAACTCAGGGAAGTAGAGGAGGACTAATTTTCAACCTTCAAATCCACAACACGATCACGGAGAAACGCTAAGCAAACTTACGCACTTCGTCAGATGGATGAGCCATTTAGCTTTCCTATCGAGGTGACTTTTGAGTCGACTCAAAAGTTACTTCGTCAGATGGATGAGCCATTTAGCTTTCTTATCTCTATAGACCAGTCGATAGTTTCTAGTTCGACTCAATTTTCACTCGCTAAGCCTTCTCGTGCGTGTTCGTGTCTTCCCAGGAGCAGAGGGTAAGGCGCTGAAAATTTCTTAATCCAGAGAAAAAGGTTTGTGTGAACAAGTGGGACGCGGCGATTAAGAAGCATTTCAACCCGCACTACGCCCCGGTCCCTCTCTCCCCCTATTCCCTCCGCCGCCCACCCGCACACCTTGTCCCATCCCCAGGACGCGGCGAGAAAGGCGTTGGAAGATGCTCTGTCAGGCAAGAAGGACCTTGTGAACAAGTGGGACGCGGAGATCAAGAAGCAAATCAACCCGTACTACGCCCCGTCCTCCCTCACCTCCCCGTTTCCCCCCCCCCCCCGGCCCATCCGCACACCTTGTCCCATCCCCAGGATGCAGCGAGAAAGGCGTTGGAAGATGCTTTATCGGGAAAGAAGGACCTTTTGAACAAGTGGGACGCGGAGATAAAAAAGCGATGCCTGATCCCCCCTCTCCCCAATTTCCCCTTTCTGCACCCCTTTCCCCCGCTTCCCCCAACCATCTTCCCCATCCGCAGGACGCGGCGAGAAAGGCGTTAGAGGATGCTTTATCGGGGAAGAAGGACCTTTTGAACAAGTGGGACGCGGAGATCAAGAAGCGGGAGGAGGGCGGCGGGGGAGGGGAAGGCCGGGGGAGAGGATGGGGGGGAGGCGGAGGAGGGGGGGGGGGGGATGGGGATGGTGTGAGCGGCGGTGGGGATGAGCGGTGGGAGGAGACGAAGCAGGTTCTGTTCGCAATTGGCGGCATGCTTGGCATTGTGAGTGTGCTTCGCATTGTCAGTTCCTTTTGGGACGTGTTTTGAGAGGTCTCAAAATGTGTGAAGGGGGGGTTGGGGGGGGAGATGAGCGGTGGGAGGAGACGAAGCAGGTTCTGTTCGCGATCGGCGGCATGCTTGGAATCATGAGTGACTTTTTGAGATCTTATCAGGCTGCTATGGTTGTGCTTCGCATTGTGAGTGCCTTTTGAGACATGTTTTGAGAGGTCTTAATTGGTGTGAGCGGCGGAGGGGATGAGCAGTGGGAGGAGACGAAGCAGGTTCTATTTGCAATTGGCGGCATTCTCGGCATTGTGAGTGGCTTTTGAGACGTCTTGAAAGGTGTTGTGAGTGTGCTTGGTGGCGTTGTGAGTGTGCTTGGTGGCGTTGTGAGTGTGCTTGGTGGCGTTGTGAGTGTGCTTGGAGGCGTTGTGAGTGTGCTTGGTGGCGTTGTGAGTGTGCTAGAGGGGATCGTGGAACTTCGAGGCATGATTTCGTCTCTTTCTGCAGAAACTTGCAACGCTAGCCCCTCCCCTCCTCTTTGCGTTTCACTTCTGTTTCTTTGTCTTCCATTTGATCGAGTTTTTTTCCTTGCACTAATAATCGTCGCATTAGCCGTCTTTCTCTCTATCTCCTTCCCTCGTCCCTTTCCCTCCCCTCCCTGTCCTCCCACCCCTTCCCATCCCCTCCCCTCCCCTCCCCTCCCCTCCCTCCTGCCCCCTCCTTCCAACCCCTCACAGTATCTGCTTTTCACACAGGGCCTTCGCATCGTGGCCTCCAAAATCAACTGCATTCTCTTCCGTCCACCTCCCCTCCCTCTGCCCGCTCCTTCCACCCCCCACAGTACCTGCTGTTCACACAAGGTCTTCGCATCGTGGCATTCCTAGTGAACTGCATTCTCTTCGTGCTTCGGGGCTTTAAGGGGCCGCGCTCGCAGCAGCAGGAGATCTACACCCCCCGTGCCGCCACCGCTGGTGCTGCTGGGGGCGATGGGGATGTGGGCGATGCGGGGAAGAGAGAGGAGAGCGTGCGGCAGAAGTGGGGAGGGGACGAATGAGAGGAGTGAGGGAGTAATGAGGAAGAGAGTGAAAGGGGAGAAAGGTATGCGTTGAAGAGGCATGAGAGTGTGCGGCATAAGTGGGGGTGCGATGAGTGAGAGGAAGCGGGAGTAATGTGGGAGGAGTGAGAGGGTGTGGATAAAGATTGGATCCTGGCAGAGTGAGAGGAATGAGGGAGGATATACGAGAAGGTTAAGTGAGGTGGAAATTGCAATGGATGAGTGGGGTGCGGAGGGGATTGGTGAGCAGCAGCTGAGGTTTGGCTTTGGTCCTTATGTTGGTCCTGACGAGTCAACACAGAAGCAATTAAGCAGCAGTCGAGTCAACTCTAGCAGCAATCTTGTAGAACTCTAGCAGAGCTCCCTCCACAACACTCTTGCAGCAGTGTAGCATACACATAGCAACAGGCTACGAGCACTCTTTTGCCTTGCCGTGGTTTGTGGCTGGAATGCCTCTCTTGCTAGCATTTCATTTCCCATCAATGGCATTTTTTCAATGCTGCATCTCATGGGTGCCTCAGGAAGAAATGCTTTACGGTATAATCTCACTGGTGTGATGCAAAGTTCTTTGCGGGTTGTGAGTTGGACTGAAATGGATGTGGAAACGTTTTCTATTTTATGTTGGCAGGTTGAAGTATATGTAATTACTTATTCCTAGTGTGAATATGTGGTTCTGTCAGTGCTGGTGATTCAGTCCTTGCACGTGGCTCTGGCAGAACCATACACAAGCGAAAAGCTGGAAAACGAGGAAATCACGTGTGCGCCCTCATTTGGTCCTCAACTGCGCCTCACTAGTACATGTACAGAACTGCGATCCAGCTAACTGTGATACCCTACTGAGCTCTCTTGGCCGAAATGCCCTTTCGAGGGGCCTCTTCTCATCTCGAGAGTGGTTCGCGCGTCTTGCCTTTCTTGGTGATCGAACCAATCAACAGCATTCCACGCCCCCAATGTGATCGATCTGCATAAACCATGCAATCATCGATGCCGAGCTGGCTTGACAACATTGGTCATCTAAAGTTCTGTCCTGTGTATCACCCACTAAAGCTTCAATTATCCTTCACGTGTCAAAGAGTCTCACACACGAGGAGCCTCTGGTTTTGAGGTTGTTTGTCCCGAGATGAGGGCGCGTTCCTATCCCGTGTCAGACATCAAGTCATGCGGCCTTGTCTCCAATTTGTCTCTTCCGAACTTCCAATTTTGGCCCCAAAAACGAGCCACTTCGGGTCTTCCGAACCTCCACTTCGTGTCAAAATATTGTCCGGCACGGGATAGAAATGCGCCCTGAGATTAGTGTCTGGACTAGGACTGACACAAGGTTGATTTTTCTCTCCACAAGGCTGGGCTGGGACGGAATTCCACACACCACACAACCAAGGGACAGAAATTACGTTTCCCCACCCACGGGTAATTTACACACCACCACCGCCTCTCCCACCCACAACAACCACCAACAACTCCACTAGGCGTGTCTTGCCAAACACCCCACCTCCACCCTGAGGGTGTCAGGCGTCACTTCAGATACGCCCTAAGAGCCTCACAGCCACAACACAAAATTTCGGCCCTTCGCGGGTCTTTTGTTCACATCACATCCAATAATGTTCAGTCTGGTTAGTAACGGTTCAGAATGGTAGATCAAGCCAACCGTGCTTGATTGTACAAGATCGCACTCAACCGCGGGAAATGAACAAATAGCGAACTTCTGAGACCCTCCTTACAGCCCGGCCTAGCGTCCTAGCGACGGTCATCAAACCCCTCCTTCCAGTTGAAATAGCCAAGCCAGCTATGGTGTATGCTCTGGATGGTGGAAGAAACTTAATTTAATTCAATCACCGCAGTCCTCGGCACGGACTCTGGTGGATACCGTGTACAGTCTGCCAAGATGCAGTAGACTAGTAGCACACCTTGGCATGGCGAATCCGTCTTTTCAGTCAGGCAGTTTTTGGGGACAAATCACAGAGCCAAGCGCTCCCTGCCTTTCTGCTGGCTACCCTGGTTCCAGTCTGTCCTTAGAGGCGAATGGCAGCATTACGCGAAGCTAATCCTGAAAATAGTTTGTTCCACATCGGCAGCTTTTCGCATTCAACTGTATATTTTTTTACGCACGAATCATGAAACGGCCTTTTTTGCCACTGACGCTATGATGAATATGTGCTGACATTTTCTCCTAGGCTGAGGGTGGTCTCGCATCATTCGTACTGTTAGCCCCATAGATTCCATAATGGCGATCAAATCGAATCAAGTCATCCATTTTATGAGTCGACGATATGACCAGACAGACTGTCTCCTCTCCGCTGTTTCGCGGCGTGAGAGGATACCGAGGACTGAAAGAATCCGTTCGGCAATCCATCGGCCACCCTCGAGTTCTCTCCGAAGCGACGCAACGTAGTACTATTAAAGCTGCGGACATACTGGCCCAACTATTCATACATTCTTGTTCAAAGAAGCCCCTACCAGCTCCGAACACTTTGACAAGCGTTCGTTGAGACTCGCTACTGATTCACCCTGAAAACTCTTCTTCGTTGCGCGGTTCCTTACCACCTAGAGGTTATCGTTTTCCTGACCGTCGTCGAGCCGAGTCAGTCGCTCTACGATCCGGTAGAGACTTCTCTCAGAATACTACCTACTAGGTAGCCTCTGCTGTTACCACCTGACATTGGATCCGCAAGGCGTGCTCAAGGGTCAACGTAACTCCAAGTTGTCTCGCCTCGCCTACACAACCACTGCTTCCGAAGAGCGGGCCAGAATGCTCGCAGTCGCGTCATCATCGCGCCGTTACCATGCGTGCAGCTCGTCGTCCCAGCCTGCAGTCCAAATCGACGGCCTAGATCCGTCGGAAGGACTGGATCCGATGGTCGTGATGGCGCGTTTCGCCGGCGAGTCGGGCATGCGGCCTTTCCTGTCAACGGATGGTGATGCAGCGTCAACAGCAAGCGGCGACGCAGCCAGCGACGCCATCAACGACGCAGTGAGCGACGCTGGCGCGGAAACATTTCTCTTCCCCACGCCTCCGCGCAGCCCGCGCGAAGGCTCCCGCGCGGCGCTCGGGTTCCGCCACCGCCGTCGCTGGAACTCGTTCAGCGGAGCTCAAGAGCTTCCGGGGGGGTGCGGAGTCTGTGACGCTCCGGAGTCCCTGGATGGTGCTACTAACGGGGATATTGCTTATTATGGTGCTAGTACTAACGGGGTTATTCGGATTTCTGGTGGTGAAGAGAACACACGCAGTGCTGAAGAACGTTGTGACCTAACACGCCTGCCCCGCCCGTCCGCAGCGCATTATTCTGCACCCCCCGCTGCTGCCGCCGCCGTTGCTGCTGCTGGTGCCACGTCACCGCTTCCTGCTGAATCACTGAGGCGGCCAGATCAGATCTACGGCTCTAAATCCAACGCCATGTGGCCTCGCAGTCAGAGCCACTCTGCAGTAGTGGGCCGACGAGATCCGAGTGATGGCTCTGATACCATGGGGGGACGGCGCCTGGGCCGGCACCGGCGCATACGGTCAGTGGAAGCAATAATGGAGGCTTCTGGAGTGGCGGGGCAGGCCACAACAACAGTGCCTCCCTTGTTGCCCTTCCCACGAGTCTACCTGGCAGTACAGTCACCGCACGGGTTAAGAAGAGAATCCTCAGTGGAGAAGCAGTCACAGTCTCCCCATGTGGCAGCGGCATGCTCTCTGAAGACTCCACACACTGGCCCTGCCTTCCCTGCCTCCTTATCGTCGACACCACCCCTCTCCCCTCCTCCCTTGTCGTCTCCTCCCTTGTCTCCCCCACCACTGTCCATGCTGTCATCCTCAAAGCCCATCTCGCTGCCGCCACCCTCAAAACCTACCCCTCGTCTGTCTCGATCCAAACCTGTCACGGGCCGCTCAGCTTCGGGTCGTTCTTGTTCGCCAGATTCCTATGCACAGTTGAACTGCAATGCTACTTCCTCCACTCTCCCCACTAAGGCAACAGTACGAGGAGCAGCAGCAGTGGTCGCATGCAGAAATGGGGATTTCAAAGACATTCGTGTGCAGGCAGCAGGCAGCAGTAGGGTTACAAGAAGCACCAATGGCAATGGCAAGAGCGTGGCACCAGGATCACCAAGTCAGAAGGTCTCTGTTTCTGGTTGCAACACCTGCAATGCAAGCAGGTCCTCTTCGCCGCGGTTGCCCAAGAACGAACGGCGTGTGTGCTTTAACAACATGGTGAAAGTCCGGACCTTCTCTGATAGCAAGTAGCCGCTCAGCGGGCTATTTTCACCACTCTGATATTCAGAGTTGTATGGCGTCCTGACTCCTCCCCCTGATGCCCTGACTCTCCCACCTGATGATCAAAGATACTGTTTCTGTTGTGCTGTTACGAGCTGGAATCAGAGTGATGCAACCACTCGTTCAATAGAGTGCAGACCCCGACGTGGATGCATCAAAAGCCGCGATTGACGTGTAGGTAGCCGCTGCAGCGGGGACATTTCTCTGCTCCACACCTCCGCGCAGCCAGCGCGAAGGTTCCAGCGCGGCGCTCGGGTTGCGCCACTTCCACCGAAGTTAATCGAGCGAGTTTCTGGATCTTTCTGGGGGGTCAGCTGGAGTCTTTGCCAGAGTTCATGGATGGTTCTTATTGCTGGGCTGAATAACCCCCCCCCCCCCCCCCCCCCCCGAATCGTTTAGATACTAGAATGTATGAATATTTTGCAGGGGAAGTGTGGATTCCACCAACTGCTAAACTGAGAACAAAATCTAAATTATATGACGAAATACAAAGAAATATACCTAGAAAAGTACATATTCTGTAGTGTAAGCGCTCAGTTCTCAGTTGTCACTCCTGAAGGATAATGTTATTACAGCGACAAAGCAGGCTGCTGAACTGCCCTGGACGTGATGTTCATGTCTGGGATTGACACGACGTTTTCTTGACTGATAGGAACACATCGAACTTGAAAACACTTGACATCCCAGCCCACGGGTACCGACGAGCACCTCTCCCAACCACCTACACCTTCCTTTCATGTAAATGACGCCACATCGCCAAATACGGTACCTGGCAAATCCGCCGTTTCGGTCGAACAGTTTCTTGCGACGAATCACAGAGGTCATTGCTCGGTGCCCTACCCTGGTTCCAGGCTGTCCTCCACAAGTTCCCCCACTTCTGGCTTCCGGCCAGACCACTTTCTAGTCTTCTGAGCCTCTAGTTTCTAGTCTTCCGAGCCTCCGCTTGTGATCTTCCCCGTTTTCAGTAGTCCCGATCAGAACCAGAATGTACCCTAAAAATATTCGTCTAGCATTCGTTTAGCGTGTTTCAATGAGCTTTCAAACGGTGAGGAACGGTTCTCGACTATCACCCCTCCGCCATAGCGCACCAGACTGAACCATTACTGTCAAGATTGAACGCACGAAAACGAGGAAAATGGCAAGCCCGATACCGGTAGATGCGCTAAGCAACTATCCGGTCATGAAACGACTTTTTTTCTGCAAGTTCATTTGTTCTTGCTCGGGATGAGCGTATCTGAAGGTGTGAGGCTGATGTCGCCTCGCACTGTTAGCGCAATAGATTCTGCTTCCGCCACGCGCTTTCCCTATGGCGTTCGCATCGTATCAAATCCCAGGCCATCATCGTATCCCAGTCCGGATTTCGGCAGAAATAACTTCTCTCCGTTGTTTCGCGACGCGGGAGGATCTTGAGGAGAGTGAGAGAGTGAGCGCCTTCGGCTTCCTTCCATTCCGTCGTTATGGCGTTCGGGTCGTGTTCACCCCCGAAACGACGGTCGTGAAGAGTCGTGTTCACCCCAAGCGGCCGCCGCAACGTCCTACAAAAGGGAAATACAGGACCAGCTGCATGCATGAGTCTTCCGAACATTTGACAACCGGCGCAGGTTGAGACTTGCTAGTAGTAGTACTACCGGCGCCGTTCCACCTTGAGAACACCTCTTTCGCCCCGCGGTCCTGCTTTTACCACCTGATATTGGTTCCGCAAGGCGTCCTGCTCAAGGCTCAACCTGACTCCAATTGGAATTGTCCCCTCCACTGCCGAATTTTGCAAGGCTTGAGCAGCAATGCTTGCAGTCGCGCCGCCATCTCGTCGCCGCGACCTCGCGTGCGTCTCGTTGTAGGGCCCGCCTGCAGTCCAGATCGACGGCCTAGATTATCCGTCGGAAGGACTGGCATCGACGGTCGTGATGGCTCGTTTCTCCAGCGATCCAGGCGCGCAGAAATTCCCGACGCTTGTGGATGCTTCAAAAGCCACCGCTGCTGGCGCGCAATCAGTCACTGGCGCCGGGACATTTCTCCGCCCCACGCCTCCGCGCAGTTCGCGCGAAGGCAGCGCGGCGCCGGCCGGCGGGTTCCGCCACCGCCACTGGCACTCGTTCAGCGACTTTCAAGATTCCCTGGATGGAGCTTATGACGGGGATATTGGTGATTCTCCATGCGCACCGCGCCCGTCTACAGTTGCTGCGGCTTCTGCCGATGCGGCTGCCACCAGTGGGGATGTGTCATCGTTAAGGCTTAACGCCCCGCCCGCCGCGGCAGCGCTAAATTCCGTGCCCCCCGCGGCTGCTTCTGCTTCTGCTGTTGCCACGTCACCGACTGAAGCCATGCGGCCTGGTAGAAGCCGGAGCCATGGTTCCGATACCATGGCGCGGCGGCGCCTGGCCCGGCACCGGCGCACGCAGTCACTGGAAGCAGTGATGGAGTATTATGGCGTGACCGAGCAGGCCCTGACTCTGACTCCAATGGGCCAGGTCCAGGCCAGTTCAGTGAAGCAGGCCACTTTTACGGGCCAGGCCAGTTCAGTGAAACAGTCCGCGTCAATGACTCCCCCGTCCTCCTCGCCCTTCCCACGAGCCTACATGGCTGTACAGTCACCGCATGGGTTACGAAGAGCCCTCTCAGCTGGAAAGCAGTCTCCCCGTGAACCAGCTACATGCTTTCTGAAGTTGCCTTGCAGCGGCCCCTCCCCCGCCTCCTCTGTCTCCTCATCACCGTCTAAACCTCTCTCCGTGGAGCAGTCTCCCCGTGATGCAGCTGCGTGCTCTCTGAAGTCGCCTTGCAGCCGCCCCTCCCCCCCTTCCTCTGCCTCCTCATTCCCATCTAAACCCCTCTCCGGGAAACAGTCTTTCCATGATGCAGCTACATGCTCTCTGAAGTCGCCTTGCAGCCGCTTCTCCCCCCCCCTCCCCCTCCCCCGCCTCCTCTGCCTTCTCATTGCCGCCTGAACCCCTCTCTCCTCCTCACCTGTCTCCTCCTCCCCTCTCTTCTCCTCCCCTGTCTCCCCCTCCCCCCTCTCCTCCCCTCTCTCCTCCTCCCCTCTCTCCTCCTCCCCTGTCTCCTCTTCCCTTGTCTTCCCCACCCCTGACCCTGCTCTCATCCTCAAAGCCCATCTCTCTGCCTACACAATCGAAACCCCCCTTTCGACCGCCACGATCCAAACCTCGCACGGGCTTGTCAGATTCAGCCCGTTCTTCTCCAACCGATTCATACGTGCAGTTGAACTGCAGTGTCAGATTTGTAAGTGCAGTAGCTGCTGCATGCACAAGCGAGGACCTTGAAGGCACCCGTGTGCAGACCACGAGCAGAAGTAGGATTACAAGACTCACCAACGGAAATGACAAGAGCTTGGCACCAGGATTGCTAAGTCAGAAGGCTGCTTTCCCTGGTTGCGACACTGGCAATGCAAGCAGGTCCTTCGCTTCGAAGCAGTTGCGCAAGACAGAACGGCGTGTGCGCTTCAACAAGATGGTGGAAGTGCGGACCTACTTTGATATCATCTAGCTGCTCGGTGTAGCTGTAAATTGGCAGATAAGCCATATTGTCACTGTATGAGCTATGATAAGGCATCATGTTCCATGTTTTGTTAGTCTTCGATGGGATTGTACATATGGTTCCCAGTAATTTCAATTCCGTACCACCCATTCATAGTTCGCCCGTTTAGGAAGGATGCTTTGAAATAATGCCGTTTGGATGTTACAAATGTAATTATCACAAGAGGGACACACACAGAGTCCCTGCATGAATTTTGATCCACACGCAGTGACCACAGGTCCACAAAGAGCGTCAGAGACATCAACACACGAATATATTATTCACAGCCTCTAGTTTCTTAGCTGGTACGATAAGTGGGTCAGCTTATGTTGACGACCTAACGCCCGAAATGTCTTTTCGGTTGACCTCGTTGTCAAAAGAATGAACGAGAATGAAAGAACCATGAAAGAGTTGGGTACAAGTACTAACCCTAATTGGGTTGTACCCCTTATGGGCTACCCCACTATGGCCTACACAAAGGTAAGCACTATAACATTCTGACACACCCCCATAGGCAAAGTGGGGGAGAACAAGTGGTCACAAGACCAGTCAAAAGAAGCAAAGCAAGCTCAGGATGGATCACAAAGTCACCACACAGTCCGAGCAGAAGCAAAGGGCCACAAGGCTAGTTCACATGCAGTGTTATATAAAGAGCACAAACAGTACAGTGATCACAGCCTAACAAGATTAAGCATGCAGGTGTATATATAGATAACAGTACAAGCAAAGTCACGCAGTGAGCAAGTGAGGCAAAGTAGGCACAAAGCCTAAACCAGTAGAGAAGCGCTGATGATCACCAGACTGAAGTGCCTTGGTGAATATATCAGAAGTGTTGGCCCTAGTGGCCACGTACGCAAGACGAAGCTGACCACGCTACTGCAACTCTCGAGCAAGGAAGTATCGCAGAGCGATGTGCTTCGCTCTGTGCTCCAGTCTGTGCTCCTTACACAAGGCAATCATGGCCTTGTTGTCTACGTACAGATCTGGAGGCGAACGAGACTGCTCTCCCAAGTCAGTCAGCAGGTAGGTGAGCCAGCGTAACTCCTGTGCAGCCATGGCCCCTGCGTAGATCTCAGCCTCACAACTGGAACTGAGAATCGAAGACGAGCGGGTAGACCGCCAGGAAATACAGCCGGAGCGGAGGCTGAAGGTGTAACCCTGTGACGACCGCTGCGTAGCCAAGTCGTCAACCCAAGAAGCGTCGGCGTGACCAGTGAGGACTGTCAAACATATGTTTATATGTTTAAGTTAGATAGGTTGTAGTGGGGTACTCACTGTGGGGTACAACCCCTTAGATTTTTCCTCTTGTACCAACACTCTCGATAGTTGAATCATCCATTGCCTAGCCTTTCGACATGGCATCTAGAGCGTAGGTCCTTAGGACCTAGGATTAGGGCCCACCTCACCTGCCTTGCCTACTGCCCGCGCGCGCCTCGGCGGCCCGCGCGCGGCCCTTTTTTTTTTTGCCGCGCATGCCTCTTACGCAGCTCGCGCGGCCCGTTTAGGCCCCGCCCGCGCGCCACTTCCGCAGCTCGCGCGGCCCGTTTAGGCCCCGCCCGCGCGCCACTTACGCCGCCCGAGCGCAGCCCGTTTAGGCCACGCCCGAGCAGCCCGCCGCCGCACGCCGCCCGCAGTCGCGCGAGGCCCGTCGCCATGCGCAGCGACGCAGTCGCGCGCAGCCCGTCGCCACGCGCAGCCAGGAGCCGCACGCAGCTCGTCGCCACGCGCGCTGCCCGCAGCCACGCGCGCAGCCTGCAGCTTAGCGCAGCAAGCCGCTTGCTGCTGCTGCCTGCTGCCTGCTGCTGCCTGCTCCCTGCTGCTCCTGCTGCCTGCTGCCCGCAGCCGCTCCTGCCTGCAACCTGCCTGCAGCCTGCCTGCTGCCTGCTGCTGCCTGCTGCCTGCTGCTGCCTGCTGCCTGCTGCTGCCTGCTGCTGCCTGCTGCAGCCGCTCCTGCCTGCCACCTGCCTGCAGCCTGCCTGCTGCCTGCCTGCTGCCTGCCTGCTGCTTGCTGCCTGCTGCCTGCCTGCTGCCTGCTGCCTGCTGCCTGCTGCAGCCGCTCCTGCCTGCCACCTGCCTGCAGCCTGCCTGCTGCCTGCCTGCTGCCTGCCTGCTGCTTGCTGCCTGCTGCCTGCCTGCTGCTGCTGCCTGCTGCTGCCTGCTGCCTGCTGCTGCTGCCTGCTGCTGCCTGCTGCTGCTGCCTGCTGCTGCCTGCTGCAGCCGCTCCTGCCTGCCACCTGCCTGCAGCCTGCCTGCTGCCTGCCTGCTGCCTGCCTGCTGCTTGCTGCCCGCTGCCTGCCTGCTGCAGCCTGCCTGCCGCCTGCCTGCAGCCTGCCTGCTGCCTGCCTGCTGCCTGCCTGCTGCTTGCTGCCTGCTGCCTGCCTGCCGCAGCCTGCCTGCCACCTGCCTGCTGCCTGCCTGCTGCCTGCCTGCTACTTACTGCCTGCTGCCGCCTGCCTGCTTGCTGCCTGCTACCGCCTGCCTGCCACCTGCCTCCTACCTGGTGCCTGCTGCCTCTGTCTGCTGCCTGCTGCCTGCTGCCTCCTGCCTTAAGCCAATATGGCGACGCCCAACGTTCTCGCATTCGAGCCTGACGGTCGTCCCCTCGAGTTCGCTGTGTGGTTAGACGATCTCCAGCTGTTCCTTCTGACTGATGCCAAAGAGGGCGTTTCCTTGTTTGATTACGTCTCTGGCACTGCCGTTACTCCTGCTGCTGATGCTCCTGCTCTAGAACGCTCCCAGTGAAAGACTCGTGATGCTGCTGCACGCCTAGCTATTAGGAACCACCTGCCGATTACTGAGCGAGCGCACTTCAGCCAGCACAGAACTGCTAAGACACTGTACGACGCTGTAGTTGCGCGCTACTCCTCCCCGGCCACTGCAGCCATAGGTCGACTCATGCTACCGTACCTGTTCCCCGATCTTTCCTCGTTCACCACTGCTGAGGACCTAGTTTCTCACCTACGTGCTACTGACTCTCGCTTTCGTGCCGCTCTTTCAGCCGAGTTCTGCGCCGCAAACCCCCCCGATGTACTTCACTCTCTATTTCCTCGTCACCCGCCTCCCTGACACTCTTAGCTCTGTCAGGGACCACTTCCTAGCGCTAGACCCCACCACTCTCACTGTCGACGACTTCGAGAAGCACCTCCTCGCAGCAGAGAAGAACATCCTCGCTGTAGGTGCTGCTCGTGGCACTCCCCGCTCTCCCCTCTTTGAGGGGTGCTCCCCCTCCCCTCTCACCCCCTCCTACGCATCCGCAGCTGCTGCTCACGACTACCTTGGTGCTGAGGAGGTCGGAGCTGCTTCCGCTCCTAGAGGGAAGCGTCGCAGCGGCAGGGGCGGCAGGGGTGGCAGGGGCGGTGGGGGTGGCGGTGGAGGTGGCGGTGGTGCAGGTGGCGGGGAAGGTGGAGGTGGTGGGGGTGGTAGTGGGGGTGGAGGTGGTGGAGGTGGTGGTGGGGGCGGCGGAGGCACTGTGAACGGTGCAAGGGGGAGCAGCGGCAGTGGGGGAGGAGGGAGCGGTGGTGGCAGTGGTGGTCAGGGCCAGCAGCAGCCGCAGCAGCAGCAGCAGCACCAGCAGCAGCAGCGTCCGCGCCAGACCCCCACTTCCCAGCAGCTTCTTGATTGGTATGCCAGGCGTGGGGTTTCTGGGGGTCCTGGTCGCTGCCCCTATATTATCCGCACTGGTCCCCGCACTGGTCGCCAGTGCACAGGTTTTCACACTGAGCAGCGCTGCTTCGCTCGACTTAGCGACGCCTGGCATGCCAAGTTTCCTGATGCTCCTGAGTTCCCCAACTGGGCAGACTTGCTTAGGCGTGATGTCCCTATCTTTGATCTTGACTATGAGGCAATTCTTGCTGCTATGTATGCATTGTCTGTTAGTGCTGAGGGTGACTGCTACTTGTGTGTGCCGCCGGCTCCTGGTATAGTCCCTGGTATAGCCCCTGCAGCACTTGGTGCTTGTGAGTCTGCTCCCCCTGGTACTGCGCCTGCACAGGCCTTGCACACCTTTACACTTGACTCTGGTGCTTCCCGCTGTTTCTTTCGCGACAGTACCACAGTCACTCCCCTCCCTGCACCTGTTCCTGTCTCACTGGCTGACCCCTCTGGGGGCCCAGTGCTTGCACGGTCTTCCACTGTGCTTCCGTGTCCGGCGGTCCCGTCTGGTGAGCTGTCTGGTCTCCACCTCCCCTCATTCTCTACGAACTTGGTGAGTAACGCTGTCCTCCAGGATGCGGGGGTTGACACCTTCACCCGTGGCCGGCAGCGTGTGGCGATTTGCACGTGCTCCCAGACTGGTCGCCACCTGGCCACGTTCACTCGTGCGCCAGGATCCAGTCTGTACACCCTCACCACTGCGTCGCGCTCCGCCCCTTTGTCTCCCCAGTTGCACGCTTCTGCTCAGGTTGCTACACAGTGTGAGTGTCGCCGGCTGTCGCACGACACTCTCCTGTGGCACCACCGCCTTGGTCACCCCTCCCTGCCTCGCCTTCGTAGCATGCATTCTCGCTTCCTTGTTTCTGGTCTTCCCAGGTCTCTGCCTCCCCTCCCTCCCTCGCC